CTGATACCGCATCATGGTATTTCTTCATAACACAATTTGTAGGGTTTTTTCTATCATGTAACTTGCAACTGTTTTTATTCATTTGTCCATCCATGATAGACACACTGCACAGTGATCATGTGACAACCATAACCTGGTGAGAATATTTATTCACTTTGATACACTCACTCCATTCATTTGATACCTCCCTATCCTGTTTGGATAAGCTGGTGATTTGGCCACGAACAGTATCTAGTGATCAGGCGACGGACGGGGTATCCAATCTGATTTTAACGGATTATCTAAATTACCGTTACTTGTGTTAATTACTCGGATTATGAACCACATGGCCGATTCTCACTAAGGTATGACTGTTATTGTAGCCGACAAGCATGTTGATTGACTACATAACTAACAAGTAATAATTAACCCATTGTAATTTAGCCTGTGTTCTGTTGGGAGTTTATTCAATGATCATTTACATTCAACTACCGTAAGTAATTGTTGGTTAGTAAATACATTAAATATTAAGATTCTAATTATTTTTTTAATATATATCTGCTGTGTGGTCATGGAATTTTATGGGAACAATTTTAATATTTTTTCAAATTTTAGACGACAGTGACTCCAGAATGTTAACAATTTTATCATATCTACTCATCTCAAGGAAAGTGTGCCATGTCATTTGAATGGGACAAAAGTCTGAGATCTACCTATGGATAGATGAGATTACCATTTGTTTGGCTCTAATATACTTTTCAGACGTCGCGACGCTTATTTTTAAATCAGTTCAAAATCAGTTTTTAAGACAGTATCGTATTGCGTTCACACGTACTATAAGCCAAACCAGTTTAACTATTCTGACCTCTTCGATTGAAGGTTAGAGTTAACTACGCATGGGTAGCTTCACATTCTTATTCAGTTGTCGCACGCTTTTGATAACACTGGCACTACCTGACCCCATCATTTTCCCAGGAATGTAACTTACTACGTACTGCGCATGCTCAGAGCGAGCTGGAGCTGTTTTTTTTTAAGCCTACCCGTTCAGACGGCCAAGGTAAAACAAGATAAAATAAAAAGCCTTTTCGAAGATAAGTCGTGAGCTGGGTTTTTTAAACTGGTTTATATGGTCCACATTTGCATTCAGACGACAAAGTCAAACTGGTTTAACGATCCCCAGGGTTTTTAAACCAGTTCAACATAAGCGTCTGAACGAGCTATTAATTGGTAGAATCACTGTAATGAAATAACATTAAACCCATTCCATTCTTTGTAATGTCAAATTATAAGACTGGGTTGGTATAGTAAAATAATTCATAAATATCTTGCTGTGCTGTTATCCACAAATTGATTAATTCATTAATTAAAGGACAAGTCAATTTTACTTTTACATGGAAACTAAATTAGTGCTGAGAATGACAGATCAATATTTGGTCAGAATTTGGAAAAACAAATCACCAGGTGACTAAGATCTCCAACAAATTTGCATTTGTTGTATATTAAACAGTAACTATAGTCAAGCAGTAATTAATCATGTTTCATAATAAAACACAAAGGAATCACATTTCGATATTATCTGCCATGGTTAACAAACTAAAACCATATTGGAACTAACAGCATAAATATCTTTATGCTGAAAAAGGGATAGTAACTTATTGAGATTAAATTTAAACAGTAAAAGAGGAAAACCCTACCTAAAGTGAGCTATTGGATTGGCCAGTAGACTAGAAACTATGTACTAGTTAAATGTAGATACAGCAGTAAGCCAGTGACAAGTCCAAAGTTATCAAATGATACACATCATAATGTATGGGCTTAACTATATATATATATGTTCCAAAGCCACAGCTACGTGGTAAATCTTTTGTAATTCTATGGATTCATTTTTCTATGAATGGTCAACCCCATCCTAAGCCCGACTGGATTGAATGACACTTTTACATCACCAATCATGTTCATCAAATCGAAGAAAGAGCTATTTGTGCCGATTGCAGGTCTTTCTTTAAACCTAAAATTTTATAAAAATTATTAATTAGACATTTATTAACTTAACAAGACTATCATCTAATCTTGATGAATGTGAATGATTGAAACTTTGTCATCGTAACAGTGGTAGTAATGACAATCGGGGCTACAGTGTTATAGTATCGCCGACATCTGGGCCCAGAGTGAAGTAATTTGACTGATATTTTCAAAATATTCCCTTTTCATAATCTTACCTAATGCCCCTTTAAGCTAACAAAGTTAAGAAATCTTACCAATTGCGAATCAAAATCTGCCTTATATCAAAACATGTATCGAGCCACAATATGTTAGTTTTTATCCTTAAGAACAATACCAGATAATGAAATCTAAAATAAAATTGTTTAAAACAGTTTTCCTAACTATCTTTATATTTACGTGAATAACAGGTGTGGCCTCTAAATATAACCTGTAAATTGATATTCATTTTTGAAATTAAGTATTAACTCAAGTATTAAGTACAGTAACACGGCGTGTACATGTACACAACAAACGAACAAAATGAATTACAGGGAAGTTGCCCTCGTCACTGTTTACATAGATTTTGTTAAAACACTTTTCCATTAATAACATATAAAACTGCAGTACTCAAAACTTCAGGTTTTACTACATATTTTATATCAAGGGCAATATACTTGACCAATAATCACTGTTTCTTTTCATTCTGTTTTCTTTGAAAAGAGAAGATCACCTATGTTTCGATTGAAAGAACTATATCTTTTTCGACCATTCATTCTTCAAGTAGTCTGAGAAATTTACAGGAAAACTAACCACATTTAACCCTTTCAGCATGTTCTAAACAAGTAATCTCCGAGTGCCAGGCATGTTTAGAAGTCATGTCATGTCAACATGGAAATTTCAAGGGTCTTTAGCAAGACTCCTAATAAGAGGTTTTAAATATAGTATTAAAATTTTAATTGATACCTAAAACTTTTAACACTTGGAACTGTCAAGATCAAAAACGAAAGGGTTAAATAATGTAGAACGTGCAAAGATATCCATCTCTCTGTGATTAAATAGAATAAACTTTAAACGCTATAATCAAAATAATATTCCCAATAGTTTGCTGAATTTTGCAAAATCTCTTCACTTAGATTGTACCAAAGCAATTTGCAGGAGTTTTCTGAATTAACAAGCTAACAGTGAGACTGATGTCCCCCGCTGCAATCCCAAAATAAATAGATGACACATATTAATTAACTGCACATTTATCTTTTTGAAAAATATCAAGCAAACAAACTGATTATCTTTACTTAGTCTAAGCAGAAAATGTTCACAATTGAACCTGGTAGTTAAACTATACACCAAGTTTCATCACTCCCCATCAGTTAGATTAGAATCAAAGTTATCTTGTCCCAAAGCATCAACCAATGAAATTGCTTAGTTCTGCTTAGCATTAGAGGAAAATGTTAATCATTAAAGGCATTCACCTAATGTTACACCAAGTTTTAACATTCTACCTCAATTAAAAGCAGAGTTATGTTCCAAAGTCTTGAGCAATCAAATTGCTTATCGCTACTTATTAGCCTAAGCAAAAAAGTCTTCTCATCATCAAACTTAGTCACATTATTGATATAATGAATCTATACTCATGAGTTGCATTACTCTCACCCAATTTGAACCAAGTCTCAACCAATCAAATTGCTTATCTCGGCTTAGCCTTGGTAGAAGATGTGCATTCACCTAATAAACACCTACGCCAAGTTTGAACATTCTACCTCATTTAGGAGAAGAGTTATTGTGTTCAAAAGTCTCAACCAATCAGATTGAAGTCTCTACTTAGCCTAAGCAAAAAATGCTTATCATTGAACTTAGTCAAGGTATTGATGAAATGAAACTATACAAGAAGTATCACCATTCTCATTCAATTAGAATCAAAGTTATCAAGCTCTGAAGTCTCAACCTATCAAAGTGCTTATTGCTCTGCTCATTATCGAACTTAGTCAATGTATTGATATAATGAAACTATACACCATGTTTCATCACTCTTAATTAATTAGAAACAAAGCATCAACCAATCAAACTGCTCATCTCTGCTTAGCCGGAGCAGAAAATGCTCATCTTTGAACTCCATCAGGCCATTCACATAATACACACATACATGTACACCAAGTTTGATCATAGCTCTATTAGAAGGAGAGTTATTGTGTCCCAAAAAGTGTGAGAGACAGACAGACCCATTTTAACAGTCCCCTGCTTTCTTCAAAGGCATGGGACAATAAACATTAAGAGCCATGTTAGCTCATTGAGTAAAGCACTGGCTCACTAATCAAGAGATCACAGGTTCTATCCTAGCAGTAAAAGTTCCTCAGGATTTTTTTATTTTTAGTGTGGTTTCCCCCCTTATTAGTGGTGCTGGACAGAAAAACCCTGGTCTTACTATTGCCCATTTCAGTAGCCCAGTTAGTATTGAAAGTTAAAAGGTAGGATGTTAAACCTATTTCATTTCATTGCATTTATAAAGATTTGATATTAACATGTTATTGATAACTATGTTGTGTTTTTTTCCTGAGTTCTAGCAGATGTTTGTCTGACATATATAAGTGAAAATACTGTATATTCTCCACCTGCTTTTTGATTTTACAAGAATTCAGAGTGTGCATTGGGTTCAGCCAAATCAGATTTTGAAATCAGTTTCTAATGATTCTTTTAAAGGTAAACACTTCTAAACTAGATGTTATTTTTAAAACTAAACGGTAGTTTTTGTGTTTACGCTAGACAACCGTAAAAAAACAACAACACATTTTGTTGATTCTAAGCTAATTTAACAGCTTTCTTAACAATACTTCGCAATTATATTCTATGTATATAGGAAGTGGATACAAAATTCTTCAAAACCAAATAGTATCCAGTGTAAGTCACATCTTGACTTGAAAGCAATGAACTGTGAATCTTATTCTGAAACTACATATAATATTATAATTCAAATCTGCAAAGCTGAGCCATTTCAGGAGAATCAGATTCTGAAATATTTGCTAATTTAAAAAAGTTTTACTCACAAGGATGACCCAAAAATTCCAATTAATTAGAGAAATATCCACAGTATAAAGTTAAGTCACATCTTGACTTGAAGGCAGCGAACATCTCTGCCTGTGCGACACTCTTGACAATAAACTCACTCTACTATAAGAATATCAATACGTTGTTCCACTGATAATAAATCAACTCGTTAAAGCTATATGGCCGGTTGCTCAGAACCTATAATCAAGCTGCTTATCGACTTGTTAAAACCAGCCAGCTATAATATTGAGCTGTTAAAATAGTAGGGAATGGTAATCTCAATTATATATAATCATGTGTGGTATATATAATCATAAGCTAGAACTCAATCTATATCAGACATGGGTTTTATGTGTGGGTAACTAACTGTAACTATAATCAATATAACACTGTCTTGTTATAATAAATATTGGTTTTTGAGTTTATGTTACTTTTATTTTCATACCTAATTGGAATTGAAAGAGGAACTCTTACTTAAATGACTGTACTTGGTAAAATATTTTATAACATTTTTTTGACTTGAATTGGGTGCATTTTTTTTTGGCTTGAATTGACAGTACAATTCAATTAAAAGAAATGAAACTTCCTACTTTTCTGCACCATCAGAGCTAATGAGAACGACTGCAGTTCAACTGAACATGTTCAAACAGATTTTGCACAAAATCAGACAAATCTTCCAATAAATCATTGAGATTAAAAGAGGTTCAGCAAACATATGCAAATTTTGTTTGTTCACAATCACATCCCAAATTGCCATTGATCTCATTTTTCCAGAATTCTTGACAGCTCTCTGATATTTCACGGCCATAATAATTATATCTTTCTGGGTTCTCGGATATGGCTTTAATCATCCCTTTTTAGAATTTGTTGTAACTAAAGCATGTTTAAAAGAATAAGTGATTTGGAAGAGTTATTTTTAAATTACAATCAATGGATGGACTAATTTGAGACTGTGTGAAGTTGTTTACATTGATTTCTGTTATTAGGTTCATTTTGGTTAACCATAAACTTCCACTGATTTATTTCTACTACTATTTAATTAACATACTCTACATGAAATATAAATGATATCCTGACAGTTGAAAATCATATGCTCCTCTCTACCTCTCACAGACGATAAAAACCTTTTAATATCTTCATTATTTTTTCACAAACTTTTAAAACAAGTACTGCCCTGGACCAGGAACTGAGTATGACGTCATCGCAATCGTCTTGAAATTGTGAGATCATATACAAAAACGAATTCTTTCAATCAGTCCACCATTGTCCAAGGAACAAGCATTCCAAGTTTCATGTAGATCGGAACATGAATTGGCAGAGACTTATACCTTTTACAAAGAGCGTCAGAACCAAGAACAAGATGAGTAGTGGTTGAGGACTAGTTCCAGGTTCACAAATATAAAAGCATATTTTATTCAACATATAAGAGCTTACACAAGAAATTCCATTAAATGAAATGAAATGGGGTTTAACGTCCTACTGTTCACAGTTCTGCTCTGATTGGGCTAATGAAGACAGGCATATGCCATACAGTGTGCTATGAGGGAAATTTGTACATGGTACCTCAGTTTTTTGTTCCATCCAAATGACTAGACAGCTGCCCTTGTCAGGCCTTCTATCCTGCAACACTGACAAGGGGGAACCATGCTGGAAAAACCTGATGAACATTCTCAGCCAGCACCAGGACCGAACCTGCAACCTCCAGACTAGCTAGCGAGCCACTGTGGCTTCCCAAATTCCATTAAAGTTACTATATTATTATTATCTAGTAAACGTCAAACAAAACCTTTGGTTTTAACATACCCCAACATCATTTGGTGAACACGGATTAATAATTTCTTCATTATTGACAATTAAAACCCTTAATATTTGAAAATACTTAAACAGAAGACCAATTAATCCAGACAAAAAATTTGACGTTTAAACAGATGACATTCAAATCCGCAAGCCATTTTGGAAAATTCGTAGAAACCTTGAAGCTAAAGGGATAATAAAACCAAGAAATATAAGCTGGCATATAAAGAGATAATTATTATCTAATGAGGCAAGCTAAATTGCCTACAAATATCTAGAACACCTGATGCCACTCAATTAAATGTCCTTTCACAATTTTGCGAACAACATGCTTTTACTTTCTTACGTTTAATGAAGAATTAAATTCCCTTGAGGTTGTTCTATGCTAAAAAGAACAGAACTCTCTATATTCAGTAAATGTCATAGTGTTCTTTCCTTTTTATTCTTCCCGAAATTATATATGAATTAATGATCACGTCTTAGTATCCCACTAGAAATCCTAAGTATACTGGTAACTCACATTTTTACAATTCCCTCATCGGTCAGGTCAGACTTAACAAGCCAACAGTGAGGCCAAGATCCCCTGTCGCAATCCCAAAATGAATAGATGGCACATATCAAGCAATCAAAATGATTATCTATAAGCAGAAAATGCTCAGGGTCAATCAAACTAGTCAAGGTTTTGAAGTACCTGGTAGTGAAACTATAAACTAAGTGTCATCACTGTCCATCAGTTAAAATCAAAGTTATCTTGTCCCAAAGCATCGATCAATTAAATTGCTTAGCTTTAGCGGAAAATGCTCTTCATCGAATTTCATCAAAGTATATTCACCTGATAAACACTTACACCGAGTTTGAACATTCTAGCTCAATTAGAAGGAGTGTTACTATTTCCCGAAAAGTGTGTGGGACAGAGAGACAGACCCATTTTAATAGTACCCTGCTTTCTTCCAAAGGCGGGGAACAATTAATATACAAATGACAAAACATAACACTTGCAACTACTGTGCAAAACTTTTGTATCCACTGACTCTCCTCTAATTAGTTTCAGCTTCTGAAATCTAGGTCACTCAAATAAGTAATTTTAATGATAAAAATATAATATCTACATGTAAGAAGCAAGCCATGTGAGCCTGCAATAGTAAGGTTTGTCATATTTTGCATTCAGAGCTACAGATTACAGGTAGTAGCTAATCCAAGGATTTTGACTATAATCCAGAGAAATAAACTAGACATTTATAATTAATGAACACTTCAGCTTACTTCATATCTCATGTTTAATTCAATAAGCTGATTATCGCTTGTTTATGTAATTCATTTCAAGTCATTTACACAACTGTAAACACTATTCATACTACATAGCTCATATAAATTGTCAGGGCGAGAGAGAAAAATGGGGATTAATGTCCACTCAACACACACTAGGTCATTTCGGGACCAACACATGGTTCAATTTTAATTCAATATTTGCTTGCGCATAGGGGTCTTTAGCAGTGGGTGGAAACCAGAGGACCCGGACAAAACCCACGAGGTTGACTCAATGGCAGATCTTGTTGGTTTCTAATTGTTATCTATATATTACATCTTTCATCTGGTTAATTAATTGTTGTAAATGTTTCATCTGCTAAATGGCTTCCAAAGTGTTTATCTAAATATTGTACCACATTTTTGTTAACTAATCATTATTTGCTTGATAACGATACCTGTTATTACTTTTACACTATTTGCGGATGGGGACTTAACTGCCATTATGGTGTAAGGGTGATATATCAGACTCCAACTTCCTGGAATGGTACCGGATTGTATGTAAAATTTCTTCTTTTTTGTCCCCCGCCTTTCGAAGAAAGCAGGGGACTATTAAAATGGGTTCGTCCGTCTGTCTGTCTGTCTGTCCGTCACACTTTTTGGGACACAATAACTCTCTTCCTAATTGAGCTAGAATGTTCAAACTTGGTGTATGTGTTTATTAGGTCAATGCCTTGATGGAGTTCGAAGATGAGCATTTTCCGCTTAGGGTAAGCAGAGATAAGCAATTTGATTGGTTGATGCTTTGGGACACGATAACTCTCTTCCTAATTGGGCTAGAATGTTCAAACTTGGTGTATGTGTTGATTAGGTCAATGCCTTGATGGAGTTCGAAGATGAGCATTTTCCGCTTAGGGTAAGCAGAGATAAGCAATTTGATTGGTTGATGCTTTGGGACACGATAACTTTTAATTGAGCTAGAATGTTCAAACTTGGTGTATGTGTTTATTAGGTCAATGCCTTGATGGAGTTCGAAGATGAGCATTTTCCGCTTAGGGTAAGCAGAGATAAGCAATTTGATTGGTTGATACTTTGGGGCACGATAACTCTCTTCCTAATTGAGCTAGAATGTTCAAACTTGGTGTATGTGTTGATTAGGTCAATGCCTTGATGGAGTTCGAAGATGAGCATTTTCCGCTTAGGGTAAGCAGAGATAAGCAATTTGATTGGTTGATGCTTTGGGACACGATAACTTTAGTTCTAATTAAGTGAGATTGATGAAACTTGGTGTATAGTTTCATTACAGTAATACCTTGACTAAGTTTGATAATGTCCCCCGCCTTTCGAAGAAAGCAGGGGACTATTCAAATGGGTCTGTCTGTCTGTCTGTCTGTCTGTCTGTCTGTCCGTTCGTCCGCCTGTCTGTCCGTCACACTTTTTGGGACACAATAACTCTACTTCTAATTGACCTAGAATGTTCAAACTTGGTGTAGGTGTCTATTAGGTCAATGCCTTGATGGAGTTCGAAGATGAGCATTTTCGGCTTAGGGTAAGCCGAGATAAGCAATTTGATTGGTTGATGCTATGGGACACGATGACTTTAGTTCTAATTACGTGAGAGTGATGAAACTTGGTGTATAGTTTCATTACATCAATACCTTGACTAAGTTTGACAATGAGCATTTTCTGCTCAGAGTAAGCAGAGCGATAAGCAATTTGATTGGACGAGACTTTGGAACACAATAACTCTCCTTCTATTTGAGCTAGAATGTTCAAACTTGGTGTAGGTGTTTATTAGGTCAATGCCTTGATGGGGTGTGAAGATGAGCATTTTCTGCTTAGGGTAAGCAGAGATAAGCAATTTGATTGGTTGATACTTTGGGACACGATAACTTTAGTTCTAATTAAGTGAGAGTGATGAAACTTGGTGTATAGTTTCATTACATCAATACCCTGACTAAGTTCGATGATGAGAATTTTCAGCTTAGGCTAAGGAGCAATAAGCATTTTGATTGGTTAAGACTTTGGAACATAACAACTCTTCTTCTAATTGAGGTAGAATGTTAAAACTTGATGTAGA